AAACACCTCCCCCACTTGGCCCCAAGGAAATCCTCGTTCGTTCGCGTGTGGACGCAGATTCCTTCATTCTGATGCGTCGATCGATCCAAGCGTCAAAGCCATATTCGTCATAACTCCTCGGTGCCACCACATTGTGAGCTGAAAGTAACTCAGCTCAGCTTGTTATAGGTTTAAGGTTTCCGTCCCAAAAAGAAGAAACAACATATATATATATATATGTATATATAACTGGCTGTTCATCTGAAATCATCTGCCTAACGTGCAGTTGCCAAACCTCAAGGAGCCGGAGCTTCTGAGTCTGAGTGGGAACCCATGAGACGTGCAAGACGAGAACGTTCTAAGAAGGTTTCCGTGAACTCAAATAGACTCGAATACTCTTAGAACTTGAAGAACCCCTTTCGATGGCATGTTCGATGGCCTTTCACATCTCACCACATTGGTCCCGCCAAAAGATTATGCTTGAAAGTCCCAGCAACCTTCAGGTCGCTCAACAATATTCCTCAAAACATCATCTACAACTGTTCCTCAAAAGATCCAATATCATCTGAAATCATCTGATGCTAATCAAAAGCTCTATTGTACAATGGTTCTTAAACGTCTCATATTTCTGATGGGTCAAAACCGTTCGTTTTCCATGAGGTAGGTTCACCATATGGAATCTATTCCCTTCATGTAACCGAAGGGGTTTGTACCGGAGCATCCTATCCGTCTCCATCCTGGTGACCTTCGTCCATCTGCGACCTTCAGGAGCATGTTGGCAGGTATCCAATCAGACTCTCAGGTGTTGGGTTAAAAACGGTAAAATCAGAGCCTTTGGCTGCGATCCGGTCGAAAACCAAGCTGCCATCTGTCAATCTCGTTGTCGAAAGTCCTGGTCACCTGGCTTTAGAAGGAAGTAAAAAGCACAGGGGTATATAAAGTTTAAGAAGAAAGCCGGGCGGAGAGGAGTTGGATGTCGCAAAGAAGAAAAATCCTTTTCTCGAAGGAGTGTCTGAACCAAGAAGTGCCTATCTCTGACCAAGGAGCAATGGTTTCAAACAACTGAGCGTAGAGATAGGGATTTCTTCATGGTGCCAGAAAGACAGAATGGTCCAACAGACTGACAAAGGTTTGGCCAAAAGGATACAAACCTCTATATATCTGTGATCACTCCAGCCAAATGGCCTCAACACTACCCAGCCCGACCATTGAGTGACCACGTGACCACCCAGGGAGCTCGACCATCTTCAGCCATCCTTGAAATCTTTGAAACACGTGGTGTCACGTCTCTGATCCCCTTGAACTTCACCTCCGCTGGTGGAAGGGGCTGGAGTCCGGAACGCTTCACGCTCCATCCCACACATGCGCGTGAGAATGACCCGATCATCGAACGAAAAGAAGAAAAGGGAACCCTAAGGCACCTGGTTACTACTAGTAAGGCACCTGTTACTACTAGCGATGCACTTGTTCCTAATACTCCATCTCTCCGACCCGCCTCATCATCACTCCCTTGCGCCCTGCGACACGGTCGCCGCCCGAGACGAGACGAGGAGCGATGGTCGGCGCGACACGGCGCGTCGGAGAGCCGATGGCTGAAACGGGAAACGGTGATCTTTCTGCGGAGACCTGGGGGCGTCCCCAAGATCCCCAAGAAAGCAGCGGCGATTTCGCTGCTTACCCGGTGACTTCCACATCGAGACCAAAAACATGGGAGAATGTGATGTAGTGAAAGGATCCCTGGTGGATGTAGGTTCGTTCCCGGCGTTCCCAAGAGAGATCTCAAAAGAGATTCCAATTCTTTTTGCAGGGGGAGTGGAAACCATTTACGTAATTGGTTCTTGCTCGTATATGTTCTCCCAAAAGGGAAGACCTCGCTATGGGCTCAGCCCTCAAAATTGCTTTTTCGAGGCCTAGGCCTTTATATACAAACCAGCGATACCCCTCTTCATTGATTATTGGAACGCACAACGGAATGCAAACAATAATGTCGTGGCACCTGCCGTGGCCGTGGCATCTGCCGTGGCATCGGGATTGGGCGGCCTGGCCTGGCCTGGCCTGATTTCCCATCCGTCGCCCGCAGTCAATCGAATGTTCATCCCTTGGAATGCCTCAAACATACTGGAACGTCTTGTTCCCAGCCTCAGCTACAAAAGCCCCAGCATCAAAAGAACGCAAAGACATCGGTCACCACCGGGGTCTCCCTGAAAGTTTGGATCGAGTCACGGACGGGGTCCTCTTTTCTCTCCCCCCCCAAGAAGCTGGGCTTCGAAGCCTGCCTTAGAGGCGTCAGAGACGCGAGAAGGATCCAGGTCCAGACCTGCCACGGACGACGCGGTGCACCGGAACCCCCGCCCGGTGGCTTCTCGGTCGGACTCCAGAACCGGAGTCGTCGGAAAGAGTCCGAAAGGGTCCGGAAGAAGTCCGCAAGTAGAGGCGGGCTCTCTCTGAGGAAGAAATCGCTGGCAAAGTAGATTGTGCTCAGTGGGTCATTGGTCAGCAGGAATGGATATAAAGAACTTGGGCTTTTCGTCTAAGTTTGGTTTGCAACCTTTGCTGTCACGTTCAAGAGTTCTTCGTGGCCATTCATTTTCAGCAAACGTACCAGTTAAGAGCAAGCGACAGGTCCTCGGCTGTGGGACACCTTGTTTCACCAAAGGGAACAACACCAGCGCTTCACAGAACAGCAACATCTGTGCATTTCGACGTGGTTTTCAACAGGATGCAAAACAAGGATTCTTTTTTGGGGTGGTTCCCTACGCCGTTTTCAACAGGACTCTTCTGTGTGGGTGGTCTTTCTTTGCTTCCCAAAGGCCAGACCACCCATCGACGGAACAAGCAAATCCATGTCGATGACCTGTCGCCATTCAGCCGAGTCCAAAGGATTCACGGACAACGGCCTCTTGAAGTCTTGGGGTCCAACCTGTCTTTTCCCTGAAATAGAGTATTATTTGTTTGCGCACAGCGTTATATACCAGAACTGGCACAAGCTGCCTGAAATCCTAAAAAACATGCCATCCTTTTGGCATCTGCGAAAGTGCATCTGCTTGTAGCATTGGTCCCACCTTTCCTTGAGCATTTGGCCTTGTGCCTGCCCCTTTTTGAGGCCGGTGGGGCTTTTTGCAAGAATGCATCCCCCATCCATCCGGTTTGCAAGGTCAGAATCCATGGTTTCAATTGGCGCCTCTTCACATCCACCGAGTCAAAAAAGAGAAGGTGGGGCTCAAGAATCCCAAGACTAGCGATGGCCTCCAACCTACTAGCGATAGCCTCCAACCTACTAGCGATGGCCTCCACCCTAATTGCGATGGCCTCAACTTATGCACCCGAATTCAAACCTCTAAAGTTTAGGAGCATTTTTGCAGCAGTTTGCAGTTTGCAGCAGGAATGTGTTGCATCTCCCGTTCGCCTGCAACCATTGACGGACCATCCTGCATAGTTGGCTCCACTCGAAGTGAAGGCTTAAAGAGGGGGGCACCACATTTTCGGTCGTGCCGGGCCTGTTGGAGTGGAAGGTCAACAAGACTAAGAAGGCTTTAGACGTTCCTTTTGCTTCTTGCTACTAGTAGCCATGGCCAGGAGTGCTGTTACTGGTAGCGATGGCCTCCACCTAATAGCGTCCTTGCCGCATAAAGAATGTCCCCGACTTCGGCAAAGACCATATTAGAATGTCATATGAGTAGACATCCTCGAAAGGATCAGTGTTTCGCGGGAACACTCGAAAGGATAAGTAGATGTCGACAAGCAGGCATGCAGCAACCTGCTGGCTCATTCAGCCATGTTGCATTCGAGAGCAACCTTTCATTCCCTAGCGAGTCTGCCCGTGAGTCTGTGCCACATTCCTGTTTTTCTTCATTCAAGACAAATAGACAGGGGAACCACTTCCACAGCTTCAAATCAACCACTTCCACCGGTCCCTTATGCCGAAACCACCCATCAAACCAACATTGATGGATGAAGAATCACCACGAGCTCACCAAATGAGGTTCAAGCTATGGTGGGCTTTCGAGAAATTGGAGGTGTTTGCTTGCTTGGCCATGGACATTTTATATAGATCCCCCCGGCGCCCAACGTCCTGTGCCAACCATTGGGCGATGCCAGCATGTTTTTAAAACATCGCGGCCAAATCTGCCGGAGCTTAGCCAGCGGAGATCCAAGATGAGGCTGAAGAGTCAGCAAATGATTTATCTCCTTCTCTCTCTACCTCTGGCAATTACCTAGAGTGAGTAACCCACTTTAACCACGTCCACGTCTTTTTGTGTTGGTTTCCTTGGTCTGAAAGTGAGGCGTGCTGAGCCCAGCGGTGCGGCGTGGCGCAAAGCGTAAGGTTCTGATTTCGGTTCGCGCGCGCGCGGCTCAAAGAATGCTCCCCTCTCCTCATGTTGAACAGAATAGCCCGGATAGTTGAAGGGTTCAACGCCCCACCTAGAGAAAAATGCTGCCACAATTTTCGGAGATCGTTGCTCCTCACAATCGATGCATCTCAGTTCACTGATTCACACCTCCCGCAAGATCTATACCTCAATCTCCACCCTATAGCAGAAAAATGACAAACGTTTATGAATCATCTCAAGTCTCAAGTGTATAATGTTTCTAGATAAACAAGGAAATGTTCATGACCTGGAGCTTCAAGACCGGAAAACCCCGCGTGAACTGAATAAGAATTGATCTGATCTAGGCCGACACCGAGCCAACAACCGAGTGAAAAAAATGGACTTTGGACCAGGACCGTTCTCCATTTGGACACATACCCAGTTGGCTGCGCCCTCGGTCCAAAGTGATCGAAACTGTACTGAAGAGATCCCTTCATGTGGGCGGCCGATTGTGTCAAGGGAAGCTCCCTTAAAGATTCCAGTAATTCGTTGTCATTCAAGTCAAAGGGGTGCCGGTTCCAAAGGGGAGGAAATCGGGGTGCCCCGAACATCGCATCCACGGATGGGAGAAGCTAAACCACCCAACTCCATGCGACTCCTGGTATTCTCTCCCCTTAAGAACTGGAACGAGTGTGTCTCGCAGTCTCGCGCCTTGCGCTTCTTGCGCACCATGAGTCCAGCCAAGGCTGCTGTTAGAACCCCCCCGATCGGTTGGAAGGTTTCGTCCTCAAGTGTCCAGATATTGAAAAAAAGAATTGGACATGGAAAAAGGTTCCAGGTCATCCTTCTCTCGAAGCGCTTCCAACACTGAACCTTCTTCTTTCACAACGGTTTTGCGTCGTTCTGCGCTGACAGCTTGGCGGTTTCTTGGTGCAAAGCTTGCAGCCTCCGAGGAACTTTCACCACCTGCTGACTCTTGCCAAAACGCGTGTCCTGAAGTACACGGCGAGAACAAGAACATGTTCTTGACATGGGATAGCTTGACAAGAACAGAACCCTCAAATTAGAACATGTTCTTGACAAGAACATGGGAGAGTGTTTTCTTCTTTTCCATGGGATTCATCAAGAGAATACAGAACACGGTGGGAAAGCGAGGCATCACATGGTGGAGAAAGCTTTCGATGGCTGTTGTTGACCCCCCAGGGCCGCCGAGGCTCTCCGGATGAGCCAGCTGGCTTCGGTGATCCAAGTCCTGGTCCACTCCGTCATCAGGTCATCCAAGGGGGGGTCCAGCAACTGAGCAACTGAGCAGGCGGAAAAGCGGCACTACAATCCAATCCATATGGCCATTGGTCAAGGGACACAGCTATCTGCCTATGGGGTTAGCAATGAAAATTCACTTGGGACCTGTGGAGGAAAGTGAATCAAAAGGAGCCTCTGTCCGTGCCTGGACCTTCCAGGAGTCCCGTTTTTCCAGCCGCTTGGCGAAACAACACAAATGTCAGTTGTTTCCCGTCAAAAACGCCGTTTCATGTCAAAAGTGCCGTTTCGACGGTTTTTACAGAGGTTGCCAAATTAGCGGTCGGCAAAGGTCGCCGTTTGGTCGGGAAGAAAGTCGCCGTTTGGTAAGGAAAAGTTGCCATTTCAAAGTCTTGACTTAGCATGGAAAACACACCCACCCACATGACCCACATCAACGATCACAAACACGCCCTACGTGTTCCTTTCTAGGCATGCATCTCCTGCAGAACTGCTCAGATGGATAATGGACGGTAGCCCCTTTTTGCCCCCCCCAAGCAATGCGCGTAAGGGAGCCAGAGGGAGCCAGTTGCTCTCCCGATCCTTTTTCTCTGGAGAACCTCCAAACCCTATGGGTGCGCATGAAAAACGGAGAACCCTCGACCTGGCGTCCCCTCGACAGCGAAATCGACGAAGGGATCGACGTCCCCTCGACGTCAGAACGGGTCCGGGGTGGGGTGAGGTGGGTCGGAACCCGGCACCTGGCGGCTTGGTGGCCCGGTCTATGGCTGTGGGTCGAGACCAACCGAACAGAGACGACCCAAGGAGCCAAGGAACCAAGGGACATTGTGACATGGGTTTTCCAGGTTTTGACCCACACCCATAAGGACGACCAATCGTTAAATCAAAGATGTCAAAGACAAAAACCAGCGCCCTCTGCCATCGGTCCCTCCTTCCTCTTCCCACCATTCCCACAACAGACAAATTACATGAGTCCACTCAAGTCTTCCTCTTCCCACCATTCCCAGACCATACTTTCGGAAGACGCCCCTCTTTTTCCGTCTTTTTTGGTCCCCAGGCTTCGGAGGCGAAGGTCTTTCACCCACGGCCCCGTAGCAATCGTCCCTGACTCCATCCTTTTCCATCCGTCTCAGCTGTGGAAAGCCAGGCAGCATTCGACATGCCGTTCTTTTCACGTTCGAAACCTCTTCGCCGGTTCCGCATACGCAAGCCATGTCATGTCGGGAGTGTGGCACCGTGATCGCACACATACAAGCTTCGGGGAAGAAAATGCATGCTGCATGCTGAGCGTGACTGGCAACCTGAACACTGGACTCCGTGATGAGACCTACTGTGGTCACCAATCTTCCTTCACCATTCCCAGTATAAAATGCGGAACCCATCGAACTGCCCTCAGGGCTTCATTCTTCGCTTCAAGGGTGCACCTGAGCAGATCGGCAAGCCGTGGCATTGCAAGCCTGTTGAGATGCTGATCATGCTGCAGCCTCATCCGGGTTTTCCCAGATTGCCACCAGGGCAAACAATTCAGAAGGGCACCAGTGGTTCCATGGTCTCAGGTCATTGAAAATCGAAAGTCCATCTACCTCCGTCTACTTCCTCCAAGGCTCAGGTGCTCCACCTGTGCTTTTTGGTTTCCAAAAGAAACAGATCGGTCACCCTCCCAGATGTCCAAGCTTGCGGAGGGGTCACACGAAAACCCTGGGCTGGTCTCCGAAATCTGCCCGAAAAGCTGAAAGCAGTCATCGCACCCATCAAGACCAAAAAAGAACACCTCAACCCATCAAGACACGTCCACCCTCCCAGGCCCACCGCTTGGGTCGCACCTCCTCTAGTCATCGAAAAGGCCTCCCTTGCTGGCCCTCTTGGGTTCATCGTCTCCAAACCTGGAGACACACATGGGGCGTGGAGGGGGGTGGTCTGGGTTCCAACGGCTGGTGAAAACGGGTTGTTGACATCCGAAGAAGATCAGTCGCAAGGGAATGAACCCTGAGAAATCTTCAGGAAGTAGAACACAAGAATGGGGGCTCTCAGCAGAAACTACATGAAAAAAATATAAAACCGAAAAATCACGGCACGCACTGGACTCGGCATGCGTCACCAATGTCTCGAACCGGTCTGGTCTGCCTTTTTCGTCTCTCAGTCCCAAACAGCCCTCCGCCACCGCTCTGAGATAGAAGGCCGGACCTCAGGGCAGGGCAGGTCAGAGGCCACTTTGGCTTCAAACCGGAGGTGGGGGCGGCCTGGCGGCCTTGGGAAATCCATGTCGCAAGGCCGAAGAAACGGATTCAACGCCCTTCCAACATAAAAGGAATGGTGTTTTGTTTGTAAGACCCAAGGATGTCGGGCCCCGCACATCAACCCAAAGCACAACATTCAAGAAAAGCAAACCGCAAGGATGTCAAAGAGCGTGTGTCTCTCTTGCCTGCGTGGTGGGCAACCAATGCACCCACCTTTCTTTTCCTTTGCCATGTCCGTTTCCATGTCCCAAATTCCCTCAGCCGCACTTGGATGTGCTTCGCTGATAAATCTCCTGCACTGGATCCTCTTCACCATTCCACGCGATGGCCCACACATCTCGGAGATTCCGGCAGGAGCCCATCCGTCTTCTTCCCCAACTCTTCTTTCGCTCGACGCTCCTCAAACAGCCGAGGGGGACGGCCAGGGGGACGGCCGAGGGGACGCCCCGCGGAAAAGGCCGTCGCGGATTGGGGGCCTAAGACGTCGTGACATAGTGCTTCGCCCGGAGTTGAAACCGAAGAAGACCAACAAATGGTTAATCTGACTGTGATCCCCAAAGAACTCGGGCCTCAACGGTCTCGACTCTGGGTCCAGCGACGCAAGCAACAGTGTTTTCGTTTGTTCTTCCGAAGCAACCTGCAAGAAGTGGGTGGACTTCGTGGGCTTCAGGGTCTCCATCACTGCGTTCAATGGCTTCGGTTGAGAATTTTGGTGCTTTTGCCTCTGAACGCTCTTGTTCCTAGTAGCTTCTTGTTCCTAGTAGTAAGGCCAAGAGCCCTAGTAGCGTCCTTGCTCCTAGTAGTAAGGCCAGGAGCCCCTAGTAACCCAGTAGCGTCCTTGCTTTCAAGGCTTCCTCCTCGGCTCCCTCCTCCTCATCTCCCGCTCCATCCTACTCCATCCCCGTCTGGCTTCACACCGTCCTCCTCGCGGCGGCGTTCCTCCTCTTGGCGGCGCCGCTCCTCGTCCTGAAAGGGAAGGTTGAGATGATCGGAGGCACCTGGGACACAGAGGTGTGGCCCAAGTTAAACATCGAAATATTTTGGGAAAGTCAGTGAGGGTGAGTTTCGTTTTCAGCGTGTATTCAGGATTCGGTGGGTTGAAATGATGAGTATAAATTTTGACCAGACCTCATTTGCAAGAGTTTGGATCGTCATTGGGCCTTACAGGCAAGGCGAAGCCCATGAAACTGAGAAGTATGGAAGTGGATGGTCTGGCCAGGAAGACTTCCTTTCACCAAAGAGGTGGTCGTCCACCAGAATGGAAAGCAAGTCGGAAGGTGTTGTTCTTTTTGGCAATGTGTTTGAAGTGTACCCCATGGCCAAGCCATAACTTTGTGGAGACCTACCCCGTGCATAGCAGATCAATCTTCTCCGCTGTGCCATGAACATCCATACTTTTTACCAATTCACACGACCACTGAGCAAAAACAACTGCATGGACAGTATCCCACAGTCGGGCTCAGTTTCGATCAGGCCAGGGACAACAATCTGTAGAACCAACAAGCATTTTACGGCAGGATCATGTCAGCTGCAAAAGAACTTGCGTCGACAAAGGCCCTAGTTATGCTTGAAAACAATACTCGAAACTCGCTTCCCTCTATTCCCCACAGGAATGAATGCGTAAACATTTGATCCCATGAGCCCTACAACCCATCCAAAGCAAAAGATCCATCCGTCTCAGTCCTCCCTGCGGCGTCGCTCTTCTTCTGCTCGCTGCCGAGCCAACTCCTGGAGACAAAGCTCTGTTGGGCACTCTGTCAAGAGCACAGTGCAAGGTGGAGATGGGTGTCGTCCATCTTATCCGGTTTTAGTCTGAGATTGGTTTGATGATTGTCAGACACTAGACTAGACTGGTGTCAGGGTTTTCATCACACTCACCCACAAAAAGCGCAGCTCTTTGAAAAAGAAAAAGCGAGCTCACGTCCATGACTGAATCCAAGTCCCAGTTAGAACTGCATGATGGAACTCATAGTCGTGGTGATGAACTCCTCTCAATTGAGGTTGAAATCCGCCATAATCACCACTGGTTTTTAGAGGCCAGTCACAAAGGTGAGGAGCCCTGACCACATCAGCGCATTGGTAGGGCCTTGGATGCCATCCCTGCTTTGAAGTAGGCCATGATCATGATGAGGTCCAAATTTCTCGAAGGTCCAGTGCACAGCATACCGTCCACATCCATCAATTCCATGACTCTTGTCACTTTAGTTGCAATCAAAACCGGTCCCCACGCAAAGA